GCGATAAATGCTGTACACAAATGTTTGAAATGCGTGAGGTATCTGTACCAGTGACACCACTGCAACAGCTGCACTTATAACACTGGTGCTTTGGTAAAGCTCGATGTTGTGTTATAATGATAATGCATTAAAGTAATCAAGAAATACATACAACTTTTACCACCTCTATAGAAGACTTTAACTATGCATGTCCAAAGTGATACTGGACATCACCACTTTTTGTGGCTTTTGCTTACCCGGGCTCTTTATGCTGGTGTGAAACCACCAGCATTTGTAGCTCAGTTCAAGGATTCACAAAGTTTTTCTTCTCATCTTTTTTTTTTTTTTTTAAAAAAAAAAAAAACAGAGGTCTTAATAAAAGGTCAAGGAACCACTGGGGCAAGGAACTTACCATAAACTTTGAAAATCTGGGCATTAGCACATCTGCCCTTTAATTTTCCGTGCTTATGCAAGCGGCGGGTTCCAGCAGTGTCACACTACGCTGAAGCGCGTATCCTGGCAGAAGGCTCCCAAGGACAGCCACGTCCTGCTGACCATCCCGCCAGCTGAACCGCTGGCAGCATCTGCTGGGTGTTACCATCCTGGGCTTGGAGACTCCTCACCTTCTCCAAGGAGTTCATCTCTGCTCCCCCAAAAAGCTGGAGTCTGAGAAATGTGGTAATGCAAGTGGCCTTTAACCTTCAATTTCAAGTGGCATAATTTTTCTGAAGGACATTGAAGCTGCAAAGCTAAGGGCATGGAGGGTAGGAAAGGTAAACAGGACCTGTGACAGAGTAGGTAAAATGGTACTGTGGTGCACATGTTCAGGAAGGGGTTCATGACTCTGGTGAGAAAACATTTGCAAAGCACAGATTTTAAATGGACTTTATTAATACAGTAGAAAAAAATCAACACCTTAAAAGAAAGAAAGCGATGTAAGATACAAGAAAAAAAAAACATGAAAAAAGTTTTTTACTATCATTATTATCTTGTTCCCCTCAGACAAAAAAACATGAGAAAGACATCTGGGAAGGTGTTAAGTATATATGATTTAAAAGGCTGCAAAAAAAAACCCCACCTTCCTCCTTATTTCTGACATACCTGCTTTATCATTACTTGGGGATTCTTCAGCTGGATGGTGCCTAGTCTGCTGGGAATTATCTTCCCTCCTTGTCTGAGTTTCTTAACACATGTTGCCAAGTCTGGTTCAAAAGTTAATTGGGGTATTTCAGTACCTTGGCCTTTTGTAGCAGCAAATGCTTGTGGGAGGGTTTTCTAATGATTAGTACACAACTCCAGACAAACACAAAACTGGTATGAGCTTACGCCATGCACTGTATTAAATGCATAGTAAAAAAACAGCTTGCACTTAATATATAATTAAATATATGTAGTTACATACTGTGTGTATTAGCAGCTCATGTCAATAAATCATGCTACCTTAGTTCTGGTATGTCCTTACTTTCACTTATTTCATCTTGGGTTTGACAATACAGTTTTTAAATATAATTTACCTATTTTAAGATGCTTGTTGGCAAGTCTGTCCTCCTGAGACCCGGGGCATCCCAGAGAAGGGCAGTGCTGTCTGCCCCCAGGGAAGTGTATTGACAGCCAGAGAATTAATGAGTCTTTGGGGTGGTATGTTTTCTTCCTGTCCTTTCTGAAAGCTCAGCTTTTGTGACACTTACTGGTCTGGCTTCCCAAATGCCTACTTCATGTCTCTCTTTGCTTCAAATCATTCAAAATTGTAGCTGCCAGCCCCGTCCTTGCCTATAAATCTGGCCATGCAGCTCATCCTTCTTTCTTTGTTCTCACGGTCTCCTTTAACAGCACCAAAGTTCACATCCTTTGTAGCCCCTTCAAAACCCTGCAACGCCCTCACTGCTCTGCAGGCACTGGGTTTCATCAGCTTCTTTTTCAGCCTCTCATGCCATCCCTTTTCTACCATCTTCCATAGGTTGCAGCCCCACAAACCTCACAGCAAAGCCCCTTGACCAGCATTTTTACCTCCTTAAAGGACAGCTTGTTAAGAGAAGCCAGTCTCAGAGTCTCTAAAAATTGCATGGTGCTATTTCCTTTGCACTGATTTGGACAAGGGGAGAGGGGATTGATGGTTATCCTTAAACTAGGAGTCCCTCAAAACAGGCACTGTCCTTGAGCACCAGCTGTTTATGAGTAATGACAGTAGTAAGTCCCCAGTTATCTGCTTTTGGAGATGATAGTTCAATAGCACTGGTACTCTGCTGACACATGCAATTGGGGCATGTATTAAAAAAAGAAGACCAAAATAAAACCAAGAGAAATAAACCAGTACTGTGCTGTGATTATTTGATGATACTTAAGTGTATCATGCAGGCAAGTGAATGTGGCAAGAAGTTCTTTAAAGAGCTGTTGGAAAAATAATGTTTTAATTCACAAAGGGTGAAGCAACAGAGAGCACTTTGTGATAGACTTTCGAGTTCTCCTCCAATAGCTTTTGCCTAAGGAGATGGATACAGCAAAGCAAGTGTCAGTTTCCTGGAAACTATTCTCTTTCATAGAAAGCACCAAGCAATGGGCTATTGAACTGGGCTACAGGCATCGTAAAATGCTGTCAGAAAGACAAACTAAAGCAGGCAACTAGTGAATGTAAAACTGGGATCAGGAATCCGATTCAGAGTAACTGATGCTTATTGATCTGGTAAGGGACTGACTGTCTGAGCACTGCCAAGCCTCACTCAAAGGGAAAAGGGAACAAAGCCTGAGCAAATGAGCCATATTGAACATGGTTAGTGAAAAAACCCTGCTATAGTAATGCATCCTGTTACATGCCCAGCAACGTGCTCTTTGCTGCAAACCAGGGTCCTCTGTGCTGAAGGCTGGTGTCACTCCAGGTCTGAAGAGGCCACAGCAAAGCCTGGGCACATGCTTTCATTGGGCATTGAGGAGGAGGGCTCTGACCCAGCAAGTCTGTCCTCCTGAGACCCTGAAAGGGAGGAAAGGCTGCATTTGAAAGGGTGGCCAGGCCAAATTATATTAGAGGAGTGTACTCCTGCTGGAAATCACATTAGTGGCTACTTCCCTCCCTCCACCCCCAACAAAATCTTGGAGCTTAAAAGGCACTGAGTTATAGCCCCAGCCTTGCAGTGCTTTTAATTCACTCTGACAGTTTCCTGTGCATTGGTGGAGGGTCCAGTCTGGATGCACAATCTTCTCAAGTGAGAGAGAACAGGGTTTAAACAGCCGTGTTTTGCTGCAGCCTTTCCACCCACTACTGCACAAGTAGCCCTCCCTGCACAAGGTGCTTTTTCTGTGGGAAAGGAGGGGGAAGGACAACCGTAGAGCTGAACCCATCAAAGCCTCCCATAGCAAAGCCAAGCAGTGCTGCAGGGCGCTGAGGGGAGCCCCGGCCTCTTGGGCCATCCTGACGAGGGTGGGAAGGGGCCTCGTGCCATACGTGCATTGGAGAACCTCACGTTCTTCAGGAAAAGCCATCTGCCGGGCTGTCCCCAGGGCCAGTGCTGCTAGTGGCATCTCCTGCGAGACACAGGGAAGGACAGAGCGTTCCCTCAGCAGTCTCACAGGGCACAGCTGGTGTGTGGCAGCCCAGCCGCAGAGCCTCCACAGAGCCGGAACCTGAGGTAACGGCACAATAAATCAGCAGGAGGAAGAGGAGGTAAC